CCTGTGCCTCCTTCACCGCCGCCTCCCCTACCTCTCTACAGCCCTGTGTTTCCTCTGCCGCACTCGTCTTCGGCTCGTATTCCCCCTCGTTCCCCTTCGGTGTCCCCTCCTTTGTCTCCTGACCAGACACCTCCTTCTCACGTCCAGTCTCGCCGTCCCTCTCGTGCTCATCCTGTCTCTCCTGTTCCTTGCTCTTGCCCTATGTTGCTTCGTTCTCACGCATGTCGTCCTCCCCTCCTCCCGTCGCCTCCTCGGTCGTCGCTTGTTGTCGTGCCAACTCCTTTCTCTGAGTTCCTTCGTACTACTAGTCCTCTTGTTTCTTGGGTCCTTGCCTCCCTCGTTACCGACCTGTCTGTTCCTGTCTCCAGTCTTGACGCACTTGTTGCTGCCGTCAATGAATTTGCCTCTACCCAGCGCCTTGATTACGCCACCGCTCTGGTCTCTGACCCTGCCCGTACTCCGTCCGTCAGGGGTGCTCCTGCCCTTGGCAGTGACGTCCTAGAGGGCAGGCAATACGAGCTAGTTTTCCTGTCCAAGGCTGCGCCTCATCTCTGCTCCATGTTGTCATCCCCTGAGGGTGACCTAGACGCTCTCCACATCACGACCCCTTGCAACTCGGGACCTTGGGCCTCTCAGTGGATAGCTGCCATGGAGCGGAAGTTGGCATCTTGAAGATCACAGGCACCTTCGTCGACGCAATTCCCCCACCTGGGGTGAACGTAGTTGATGGCCAGTGGCTCTTCAAGGTGAAGCGCCCCCCGGAGAGCCGCCTGTATTCAAGGCGCGCTATGTGGCTAGAGGCTTCAGTCAGCGCGAGGGTGTTGACTTCTTTCACACCTTCGCCCCGACCCCGAAGATGACCACTCTTCGGGCACTGCTACACGTTGCATCACAACGTGACTACGAGCTGCACTCTCTCGGCTTCTCCACGACGTTTCTTCAGGGCAGTCTGCACGAGCAGGTCTACCTGCGTCGCCCGCCAGGCTTCACTGGCTCGTTCGCTCCTTGGACCGAGTGGCTGCTTCGACGCCCGGTTTACGGCCTACGGCAGGCGCCCCACAAGTGGCACGTCACGCTGCTTGCTACCCTAGCTGATCTGCAGTTCTTCCCGTCGTCTGCAGACCCCTCGCTCTTCGTTTCTTCTGGCCAGACCCCGTTCTACATCCTTGTCTACGTAGACAACCTGGTCTTCGCTTCTGCAGACACAGACGCACTGGCCTCCGTGAAGGCTAAGTTGCTGAGGAGACACTCCTGCACTTACCTCGAAGAGCTGCGCCGCTACCTTGGCCTACAGTTCTCTAGGGACAAAGCAGCGCGCACCATCACTCTTATACAGCCACGCTTGGTGCGCCAGGTCCTTCAGAGGTTCGGCCTTCAGTTCTCTTCTGCACAGCCCACGCCTCTGCCAGTAGATCATGGGCTCTCGGCTCCAGTCCCTGAGGATTCTGTAGTGCCTAGTGGTCCTTACGCATAGCTGGTGGGTTGCCTCATGTACCTAATGACTTGCACTCGTCCAGATCTCGCATACCCTCTCAGCATCCTAGCTCGCTTTGTGGCCACAGGCAGACACGGACCACAGCACTGGTCGGCCGCTAAGAGGGTTTTGCGTTATCTAGCATGTACATCGGGCATGGGGTTAGTGCTAGGAGGACACAGACCGGTGGTCCTGATTGGGCACACAGACGCTTCGTGGGCTGACGATGCTGAGACGCTCAGGTTCTCCCAGGGCTAGTGCTTTAGCCTTGGTGCAGGGGCCATCTGATGGAGTTCCACCCGCTCATCGTCTGTTGCACAGTCTAGCTGTGAGGGTGAGATCTACGCTGGTGCCATGGCGGCACATGAGCTCCGCTGTCACAGGATCGAATGAGGTTTGCTCAATGTTGCACTATCCATGAGTACAAGGTGCTTTTATACTTTTTAGAGTACATCAGGTAACTAGGTTTATCCTATCCAAAGGGAATAGACTCTTCAAGAAATAGAATCACCCTGCCTATAGCCACGCAAGGCTATTGGCTTAAGGGATTACGACAGGATTACACTAGATATAGCGCGTCAGTACATCCCGCGCCTGGTCGGTGATATAATCATAATTACAAGATAAACCAAAGGATAATGGAAAAGGAGGAATAGGAAACCAAATGAGATGAGATATAGACGAAATGAATGAGGAGTGAAAGAGGAATGAAATAGAAAGGAAATATGGAAAGGGGAAATTGGTGTAACGGAGTCGTACTCTCACATCCGCTGGCTGACCTTCTTGCTCACAGATCTAGGTGAGCGGCCTAGCTCAACCCCGGTTCTGTACGCTGACAACAGGATCATGATCCTCCAGTGTCACGGGCCTCGAATTGAGGGCAAAGCGAAGCACATCCAGCTGCGGTACTTCCTCCTGCGCAAGCTACAGCAGCGCCGCCAGACTCGCGTAGTTCACTTGCCAACACAGCTGATACCTTTACTAAGGCACTTGCGCCTCAAGATCATCACCGACACTGTATACAGCTAGGTCTAGTTCGTGTAGCTTCACACTTGCTAGGCCTTGATTGTGTACTACTCTTATTATGTTCTCCTGACTGGCCTTGTTGCCTCTACTCCAGTAGCACGAGTAGTAGTGCTGCCCTTTTTTGCTCTTGTCTTGTTTGTACTCTCTTGACTGGTCTTCAGACTCTTGCCTCAGAGGTTGGACTAGTAGTGCCACCCTGAGTTGCGTGTCTCTTGCCCGGAACTACCCCTTGTCTAGCCTAGGGAATGTGCTAAACATATATGCAATATGTTAGTATAGGCTAGTTAGGTGTTTACCTTTAGAGAGTACAACCCACTAGATAAAATCGCTCTGTACTGTTGTTTCTATTATCTCGCTACCCAGAGAATATCCTATCGCTAGAGTCGCGAAGCACATTGAAATGTCAGTATTGGTGCGGGGAATGCATAAATTTGACTGGACTCATGGAGTATTTCTAAAACGAAGCCTTTTAGGACCTCGCGTCTGAATCATGCGGTACACTATACAGAATTTCAGTATGAACTCGATGCGGTGCCGATAGGTTCGTCACGATTGTGACACGATGTCGAGTCCGACGCGAGCTGTGGAACAGGCTACGCGTTACATCGCCCCTCTGAGCAATGCTTCCTCAAATTTTAGGTTAGGGGGGTTTGCAAATTTGCGTGTGGTTCCAGCTTTGTCTCCGAGCCTGTCTGGTTTGGAAACAACAAATATAATTAGTTGTTTTCCTTCGATTGGTTCCCGGGGAGGCCCCAAAGTCATGAATTTTTTCCTGATTTAGGAAAAAAGCGGAGAGTTTCTCGGTACTTACTCTGATTGTCCAGGATTTTGTGAATGGCACACCCTATTTTTTCAGGCTTTTTTAAAGGGTAAACTATGATTGCTCAGCAAGGTCTCTTAACAAACCCTGAATTTCTTTGCATTGTAGCGGGTTTTAGTCCTTTCCAAGAGCGTGTTCAGGCGGGGCAATCAAGATTTTCGAGATTCTGTCCCCCCCGCTCCCCCCCACCACCAACCGAGGCTGTGTGAGGGTGCTGATTGGCCCTTAGTAAAGAAAACCTCCGCGCTGTATATTGGAGATCGCGCGAGGGAGGTGATCGGCCCTTCGCCATATATTGGCCTTGATGTGTGCTGCTGAGGGCTGTGTGAGGGCAATTGCTGGCCCTTGGCCAAATTTGCTCGATGTGTGCCTGCCTTGGGGCTCTGCGAGGGAAGAGATTCCCTCCGCCCCTGCAATCTCGTCGCCTCCCCCCATACCCAGCCTCCCCCCCCCACCAACTGTCGTTTCCTGCCCATCCCCCAATGCTGCCCCACTCATGCGCGAATTCGCTATGAATTCCCACCACCCCCAGTAATCAAGACTTGAATCCACAAATACGCACACCACACACATAATTCATAAATTATACTGTGTATAGAAACTTTGAGAAATCATGATTTCTTTTAATTAATTCTGATGGCTCATGTGTCAGAAACCCAGCCACTAACCACTGGGTTAAAAGGGCTTGTTAATAGCGGGTTAGTGCGCCCATAGCCCCCCAGGCTCTGCACCTGTGGCCCTTCCCCGAGGATCTCAAGGGCAACCCCAGCGGGTCACTCAACACCCCCCCCCCCCCCCCCCCGCTGAGATAGGTGGAAGACACAAGCGCTATCAGAATAATTGAATAATGGTAAAGTGAGAGTACACACAAATATATCTAAGTTTTGTATCCTCTAAGAGGTGACTCTATACAGTCTATACAAACATGACAAATACACATGTTTGACACACCCCCTAGACTGCATAGGGGAATACCCTAAACAAGCAGCTCAGGGCGGCACTACTAGTCCAACCTCTGAGACAAGGGTCTGAGCGACCGGTCAGAAGGAGTACAGACAAGGCAAGCACAAGAGCAGGGCGGCACTACTAGTCCAGCCACTGGGAGAGGACACAAGTCCAGTCTGAGTATACATATAAAGGACAGTACAAAGTCAAGGTCCTAGCAAGTGAGAGGCTACAGGAACTAGACCAAGCTGTACACAGTGCCGCTGATGATCTTTAGGCGCAAGCGCCTTCGTAAAGATATCAGCCGTGTTGGCACCTGAGGCCAAGTGTACTACGCGAGCCTGACGTCGCTGCTGTAGCTCACGCAGGAGGAAGTACCGCAGCTGAATGTGCTTCGCTCTGCCCATATCAGAATAATTGAATAATGGTAAAGTGAGAGTACACACAAATATATCTAAGTTTTGTATCCTCTAAGAGGTGACTCTATACAGTCTATACAAACATGACAAATACACATGTTTGACAAGCGCCTCTGCAGCGCTGGCACTGGGAGTTGAACCCAAAGACCTTTGGCTCTGATACCATATCAAATTGGAGAAGTGAATAATGATAGAGTGAGAGTACACACAGATATACCTAAGTGGTGTACCCTCTAAGAGGCGACCCTATACAGTCTATACAAACATGACAAATACACATGTTTGACATCATGATGTTTTTTTTTTAAGCGGACCCTGAAAAATCAGACTTTTATGCAGGGAGAATCACGATGGAGCAGGATGCCTCAAAACCAATCTAGGGCCCTGTTCCTGAGTTACTCAGTGTCAACAGGTGGATCAGTTTTGCATCAATGGTTCGGTAAGGGGGGGATGAGTGGGTCGTGGAGATTGCGGACAAATGAGATGCGGTCTTGACCATATCTATGTGAGTGCCTTTGGTTGCGACGTTTCTTGTATACGTTTATCCAATTGGTGGAACATCTTACAAGCTGCGTACTTGAGAGTTGCTCTTATCGAATAGTTGCCTGGTGCGAATGTTTGGCTTACGGGTCCTTGCCCAAGTCGCAACTGACCTGTACGGCGTTGGTTTGGTTTGGATTTTCGAGGCGCGTTGCTAGTACGCACGGAGAATGTGATTACGGACGCAGCGATTCCATTTTTTTGTGATGAGGGACGTCTGTCATGCGCATCATCGTGATTTGCGTGGCGAAGCGGCTCCATCTCCCTTCCCTTTCCTCCCTTGACGGCGAGAACAAAGCAGAACTGGACTTGACCGGTTCTAACCTAGCAGAACAACTATAAATAGGGAGAGCTACGCCGCTCCTCCAGCATATTCAAGTCTCGGAACTACCTACCATGGCTTCTTTCCTGCGCTCCTGTTTCCTTCTGGTGGTCTTCATCTTCGGTCTAACCGCGGCTAGCATTACCGCTCAAGCAGGTGAGAGCCGTCGCAGGCGCGTGTCTCCCTTTCTCGCCTGTTGCTCCTTCGGCCGTTCGTCAGCGCATGTCTCTGGCATTACTAGTCCGCTACTCGATAGCTCCTGCATTGGTTCTCAACTGTATCGTTGGAGCTGTTTCTCTCACCTGCCTGATCTCCTTTACAGAGCCGCGGGACAGACGGCGGCTTCAGGCGACCCCGGCAGCCACAGCGGGCCCAAAATGCGTGAACGCTTTTCCCCGTCGCCCGCTGTGCAAGTTCGTCAACAACCTTGCGACGCGCGTTATCGAGACGCTCGATGGCACCAAGCCACTCACCATCGGCGCGTATCAGATATACCAGGTATGACGATTCGAAGTAACCCCGAGCTTGTCACGAGAGAACCCCCGGGCTGCCTGTCGCTTCGCTTACACATTACTCACACCGTGACAAACGTGACACACGTGCTGCCGTCTCCTTTTTCCCGCTGCCAGCGCTTTGACAGTGTTTTGAACTTCCAGTTTGACCCCCATTTCCCTGTGTCCCACAGAAATTCCACCGCGACCTGCCGCCCACGAAGCAGTACGCGTACGGCACGAGCGCCCAGAAGGCGTCGTACCCAGGCCCGACGATCGTGGGCCGCGTGGGCATCGACACGACGGTGACGTGGGAGAACAAACTGACGGACAACATGCACATGTTCAAGGTCGACCCGACCATCATGATGGGCTACAAGATGCCGTCCAAGGGCGTCCCCATCGGTGGGTAGAGCATTCCGGTTTATCCAGTTCCGTTTCCATTTCCGTTTCCCCCGCCCCGCCCCCCGCCCCCCCCCCCCCCCCCCTTCGCCCCCCTCGCTTTCCCCTTTTCTCCCGCTCAGTCGTCCGCGGGGGCCTTTTGGGTCCCTCCGAAGGGTCCAAAGCGCATAAGCATATTTCGCCAAAATGCGCCTTTTCGATCTCTTTGCCCCGCCCTTCAGTCGTTCACCGCCACGGCGGCAGCCAGCAGAGCTTCTACGACGGCCACCCGCTCGCGTGGTTCACGCAGTACGGCGAGAAGGGCCCCACCTACACCACTAACGTGTACAAATACGTCAACGACGAGGCGTCGACCATCTGGTACCACGACCACGTGGGCGGCATGACGCGTCTGAACGTTGTCGCGGGCCTCGCGGGCCTTTTCATCGTGACCGATCCGAAAGTGGAGGCGAAATTCGCGTCGTGGATGCCGCCTGCCAGCCGCACGGTCCCGCTCGCGATCGCCGATCGGCTGTTTTTTGCGGACGGGTCGATCAACTATCCTACTGTGGGAATTGTGCCTAGTGTTCATCCCAACTGGGTGCCCGAGTACCTTGGCGACACGAATATCGTGAACGGCCTGGTAAGCGATCATCGCGGGGCGTTAGCTGTGGTTACTTGGTGTTTGCGAAATGTCGAGTATGATGTGGCTTCTGGGTGCTGTTCATTACTCCCGTTTCGCGCATCAAGTGATTCGTTTTGCGACGTCCCGTTACCCGTTTCAGGTGTGGCCTTTCTTGAAGGTTCGCCCCGCGATGTACCGGTTCAAGCTGCTCGGCGCATCCAACGCGCGCTTGTACGACCTCCGCTTCGTGTGCGCGCAGCGTGCTGATTACCCCAACTTCACGCCCCCGCTCAAGGGCTCCGTCCTCGATATTATCCAGGTTCGTTTCGGACATCAATGTCACGAGCTTGTCCCCATGATTATCCCACGTTTCCACATTTTCGTGAACCAATCACTCACGCCATCGTTTTTTTTCGCGCAGATCGGTAGCGATGGTGGGTATTTAGCGAAACCCGTCTACTCCAAATCTCTCCTCCTCATCCCTGGCGCGCGTCACGACGTTCTGGTGGACTTTTCCAACCTGCCCGCGAACTGCCGGGATGTGATTCTGACCAATAGCGCTCCCGCACCGTACCCCGCTGGCGTGGCCCCCGACGCCAACATTGGTTTGGTCATGCGCTTCGTCCTGACCAATCGCAAGCGCTTCCCGGCTCCCGCAATCCCCAACCAGATCTCGGTACAGTACATTCACATACCGATATGTTGCATAAACTGTTCGGTTCAGTAACACAGTTCTTGGCACACTCTACACCTAAGTTGCCTTCACCAGGTTAAGTTATGTACCATGACGTGTATTCCCCCCCTCCCCCGCCCCGCCCCGCCCCCCACCCTGACGTCAACTTTCCATACCATGACGTGTACCCCCGCCCCCCCTCTGCAGTACATCCCTCCTCTGGACTACAAGACGGTGGCCAACGTGCGATGGCACCGCCTGATGGAGGAGATGGATCCCAAGACCAACCTCCCCATCCGCGTCACCATCGATGGCCTGGGCTTTGGCGACCCCACCAAGGACTTCCCCAAGGAGGTGAGGGGCTGTTAGTGTGCTGCCATGCGCATGGGGGAGCACCGAGTGCGTGTGCATGAGCAGCATTGAGCAACCTCCCTGTCCGCTGAACGACCATTGACAGGCCGGGTCCCCTAATCTGTCAGTGGACGTGCGCCCCATGCACCTGGGCCTCATCAATCATCGCCCCAACTCCCCTGTGCGCCCCTGTCCCTCCCTCTCCATCCCCTTCGCCCCACACTGCCCTCTCCTTTTCAGAACTCCAACGAGATTTGGAACTTCATCAACCTGTCAGTTGATGCCCACCCCATCCACCTTCACCTCATCGACCACCGCCCCATCTCGCGCCGCCCGTTTGACGTCATGGCGTACAACGCAGGCCGGTGCACCTTCACCGGCAAGAAGACCAAGCCCTCGTGCTTCACTGGGCCAAGGATCTGGGTGGATCCCAGCGAGAAGGGGTGGAAGGACACCACTCTGGCGTATCCTGGGCAGGTGCTGACGATCTGGACTGGGTGGCACGATAACAATGGGCTGTCGTTTAAGTTTGATTCGACAGTCGGGCCGGGGTATGTGTACCACTGCCACATGCTGGAGCATGAGGATAATGACATGATGCGGCCGTACAAGCTGGTGAAGTGATGGTGATGGCACATGACACATGATGTGACTGTACAAGCTGGTGAAGAAGTAGGCTGGTATATGAGGGCAGTACTGGTATGAGGCTGTCAGGGTTGGGACAGGTCTAGTTATGGGGTGTTATTGTTAATTTGGTGGTTGCTATTAGAGCAATTTCGACCTTCTAGGTGGTCAAGGAATACGTAGACGGATGTAATTGGGGTAGTGTAATGGTCAACTGCTTAAGTTCGATTGCAATGTGTAGGATGTACCAAATCCCAACTGAAATTATTATGAAGGACAATAGATTCATGACTTCCAGGGCCTTAGATTTCAGGCAAATTTCCCTAATTTAGGGGTTTTTCAGAGGTTTTGTATGTACCAACCCTGATGTGCTAGGATTTTTTTTTCCCTTAACCCTGAGATCAGAGTTTTTTTATAACTGAGCTTTGTTTGACCAGCATAACAACGGTAGTGGGCCCTGACTGTTACAGCCTAGAAACGGGAACCTGCCCTGTTTCCAGTAATACCCCCCCAGATTTCCGTGAGTTCCTCGTTAGTCACGCCGAGCCGACCAGTCTCCCACCCAAATCTGCGTCGTGGTGGCGAGTTTTCCGCCAGCACATAATGTGCTGCGGCTAAGGGATTGGGCGACGAGTGTTTGACAGCATGTGCTGTCGCCCGCATAGAGCGTGACTGAAAAACGTGGTTGGACACCAAGAAATCACAAGTATAGCAACCAATGGAGAACTGGCAACTTACAGTGGCCTTGCATTTTGCTGCCACACTGACGTCACTGTCGGTGTGTGCGCAGCATCTTGCCTGCCAGCGCTGTGTTTATGAGTGGATTCATGAACCTTGCCCAGTATGCATGCAAGGTCACCATGCCGCACCCCGATCCATTCCCACAAGCTGTCAAATATATATTGTTATGTTTGTGTAGATTGTATAGGTTTGTGCCATAGAGGGTACAACCCTTAGGACATGTATCCTTGTACACAACACATTGTAGTTATTCTTTGTTTCTGTCATGGTATCGTGAGTAGGTTAGATCGCCCACCCGCGCTTCCGCCCTAGGTCCTAGCCGCCCATTCCCCCCTAGCTAGCCCGCGCCCGCCCCTAGTCGCGCCAGCCCCTAGTTGGCCCTCGCGCCCGTTCCTAGCCGGCCCCACGCGCCCGTTCCAGCCGGCCCCTCGCGCCCGTTCCTAGCCGGCCCACGCGCCCGTTTCAAGCGGCCCCTAGCGCCCGTTCCTAGCCGGCTCTTGTGCCCGTTCCAGCCGGCCCTAGCGCCTGTTCCTAGCCGGCCCCTCGCGCCCGTCCTAGCCGGCCCTCTCGCCCGTTCTAGCTGACCCCCCCTCGCGTCCGTTCCTAGCCGGCCCCTCGCGCCCGTTCCTTGCCGGCCCTCGCGCCCGTTCTAGCCGGCCCCCCTCGCGCCCGTTCCTTGCCGGCCCTCACGCCCGTTCCAGCCGGCCCTCGCGCCCGTTCTAGCCGGCCCCCCTTGCGCCCGTTCTAGCCGGCCCCCCTTGCGCCCGTTCCTAGCCGGCCCTCGCACCCGTCCTAGCCGGCCCCTCGCGCCGTTCCTCGCCGGCTCCTCGCGCCGTTCCTAGCCGGCCCCTCGCGCCGTTCCTCGCCGGCCCCTCGCGCCCTTCCTCGCCGGCCCCTCGCGCCCGTTCCAGCCGGCCCTCGCGCCTGTTCCAGCTGGCCCCTCGCCCCCGTTCCTAGTCGGCCCCCGCGCCTGCCCCTAGTCGGCCTCTCGCGCCCGTTCCTGCCCGGCCCTGCGCCCTTACCTGGTCGGCCCCGCGGCCGTCCCTAGCTGGCCTCGCGCCCGCCCCTCGTCGGCCCCGCACCTGTTCCTGACCGGCCCCGCGCCCGTTCCTAGTCAGCCGGCCCGCTGCCGGCCCCGGCGTTCATTGTATAGCCGCGCACCATACAGCACCGCACTGCACCGCCCCTCACCTCTCGGTACCGCACTGCACCGCACAGCACCACACTGCACCGCACAATACCGCACTGCAGCGCACAGCACCGCACAACACCGCGCTGCACCGTACAGCATCGCCCTGCACCGCACTGCACCGCTCTGCACTGCCCTGCACCACTGCTGCATCGCTCCTGATGGTGGACTCCGTGCTCTGCTTCGACGCAGAGGATCAGCCGCTCGAGTTTGACACGTGGCTGGTCGACCTCCGCCGTCATCTCACTGGTCAGCGGCAGGATGGCCACTCCTTTGCGGTCCACCTTGACGGTACGCTTCCCTGCCCTCACCCCCTTGCTGCCCTGCCTGCTGACCCCTCGTCTGCTGACCGTGAGTCCACTGCAGCTGCTGCCCTTGCTCTCTCAGTCTGGTTGTCGCGTGACGCCGTCGCGCAGCTTGCGATCAGTCATGCCCTCCCTCTGTCTGAGCGGCCTCGCTTTCGGTCGGTCACGACTGCGCATGAGTTCCTAGAGGCTGTTGTCAAGCGCTATTCCACCCCGCCCGCTGCTTCGATAGGCCAACTGATCCTGCCGATGCTCTTTCCTGACCTTGCGTCTTTCCCCACTGTCGCTGACCTAGCCGCTCACTTGCGCATGATCGACGCGACCTGGCGCTCCGCGTGCACTGAGACCCAGCTAAGAGCCTTTCAGCCGCCCCTCTGCTCTACCCTCTACCTGCTTGCCACCCGCCTCCCTGACTATCTTGCTACTGCCCGCCACCGCTTTCTTAGCATCCACCCCGGTGACCTCACCCTCACATACTTTGTCGACACCCTGTCTGCCATAGAGAACAGCCAGCGCTCTATCGCCCAGACCGGCGGTACTTTGCCAGTCCCTATCTTTCAGGGTTGTGCCCCCGCTTAGTGCACCTTCTCAGACAGTTCCGCTGCTGTGGCTGAGACCGCAGCTGCCTCACAGTTCCGTCCGGGGAAGGGTCGCCGCCCAAAGGCTGGGCGCGGCGATGGGGGTGGCGGTGTAGGTGGCGGTGGTGGTGGAGTCGTGTCGCCCAATGGTAGCGCGGACGAGGGGACTGTGACTGGTGCAGCCGAGCAGCCGTCCCAGTAGCCGCAGACGTCCCAGCCGGACCAGCATCAGCCGAAGCCGCACCCTCAGCACCAGCCGCAGCAGTCGCAGCAGCCGCTGCAGCAGAGGCGGGCGAGTGGTCTCCCGCCCGGGTGGCCTGGATCTGGTGGCGGCGGTGGACGTGGTGGTGGTGGTCGTGCGCGTGGTGTGCCTCCGGGTGGCAGTTCGGGTGGCGGGCGCTGCCAGTACCAGCTCCAGACCGGTCCTCGTCGCGGCTCCGTTTGCGGTAAGATCGGCCACACTCCCGTCCGCTGTTTTCGTCGCCTGGACGACCTGTTTCGTCTTCGCTTCGGCCCGTCGCCCGACCTCCCCGACTGGTACAGCTTGCTTCGCCGTAGTGTTCCGATTTTTGATATGGACATGGATGAGCTTAGCTCTGCTTTGTTTGTGCTGTATACTGATGACTCTAATGTGTCTGGTTCTTACTACCCCTTGTTGCCTAGTGTAGGTGTGTCAAGTCTTGCCTCCCCTGCTGCGTTAGGCGTAGGATCCCCTGCCTTGTTTAGCCTTGGTTCTTCCCTCGCTACTCCGACTGTGGCCGCCACTGCTGCGCTCTCCTTCACCCCGAACTCTGGCGCTTCCCGGTGTTTCTTCCGCGACTCCACTACGTTGACACCACTTACTGCTCCTGCTGCAGTTTCCCTTGCTGATCCCTCCTCCGGTCCGGTATTCGCCCGTAGTTCCACCACCCTTCCCTGTCTGGCGGCTCCTTCGGGCTCTCTTACAGGCCTGCACATCCCCTCGTTCACCACGAACCTAGTTGGTGTCGGCTGCCGCCAGGACCTTGGCGTCACCACTACGTTCCCTGGTCACAAGAAATACGCTGTCTGTACCGAGGCCGCCACCGGTGCTCCTCTCACCACGTTCCCCCGCGACTCGGTGTCCGGCCTGTTCACACTGTGCACCGCCCCCCCCCCTCCCCCCCCCCCGGTTGGGACGTCTCCTCAGGTAGCTGCGTCTCCCCAGGTTGCTGCGGCCTGCTCGTGTCGGTCGCTTACTCACCCGACACTCCTGTGACACCACCGTCTGGGTCACCCTGCACTCCCGCGTCTACGTCACATGTCTCAGCACGGTCTGGTCCTAGGTCTCCCAGGGTCGTTCCCCAAGTTGCCCTCCTCCCCTGCACAACTCTGCATGCGCTGTGTCGAGGGCCGGCTCCGCCGTGCCCCTCACTCCTCCTCGTTCCCCCCCACTGCCGCATCGATACAGACCCTGCACATGGACGTCCATGGCCCCGCCCCCGTCCATGGGCCGCGTCGAGAGCGCTACTTCCTTGTGCTTGTCGATAACTACACGCGCTACACCACGGTATTTCTCCTTGAGCGGAAGGCCGACGTGCCTGACGTTCATACCCATGGCTTGTCTCTGCGCGTGTCCACCGCGGTCTTCCTGTCTTGCGTCTCCACTCCGACCGTGGTGGCGTGTTTGCTTCAGGTGTCCTTGGTCGCTTCTGTCGTGCGGAGGGCATCACCCAGACGTTCACCTTGCCGGACTCCCCGCATTAGAATGGGGTTGCTGAGCGACGCATCGGTTTGGTCATGGAGGTGGCTCGTACCTCCATGATCCATGCCGGTACACCCCATTTTCTGTGGCCGTTCACCGTTCGCTACGCCGCTCACCAGCTTAACCTGAGGCCGCACCCCCTACAGCCGCAGGTTTCGGCGACCCTTCTTTGGTCCGGGTCTCCTGGTGACACGTCTGCGTTCCACGTCTGAGGCTGCCTTGCACACGTTCGTGCCTCTAGCACGGACAAGCTCACTGCCCGCACCCTCCCTTGTGTCTTCCTAGGTTTCCCCCTTGACTCGTCTGACTGGCACTTCTACCACCCGCCGTCCCACCGTTTCATTCACTCCCGCGACGTCACCTTTGACGAGTCCGTCTCCTTCTACCACCGCTTCCCCCACCGTGGTCCCCCAGTCACTCCCCCCCTGTTCTTGGTTCCCCCTTCCCCGGTCGCCCCTGCCCCTCCCCCCCCCCCTCCCCGTCCTGCCCCCTCCAGTGTGTCTCACATCACCCCTCTCCCGTCGGTTGTCCCGGTCGAGGAGTCTGCCGACTCTGGTGGTCCTGCGGCGCAGTCCTCGCCGCCTGCCCCTCCCAAGGTGTCTCCTCCTCCACCGCCTCCGCAGCCACCATCGCCGCCACTATCGCAACCGCCGTCACAACCGCCGCAGCCGTCGCAGCCGCCGCCGCCGCCGCAGCCGTCGCCGCAGCTGTCACAGCAGCAGTTCGTTGACTCTGAGGGTGCTGG